GTTTCCCCGCAATATCGTGATGCGTTCTGGATAGCGAACCTACAATTGAAGTAGACAAATGAGGTGTCAAAATGTCAAATGTTTGCAAGACCACTGTAGCAGGGTTTCTGCAGACTTGAACAAGTTAAATTTAAGACCTTTTTAAATAACACCTTATATGAAATTTAAGACCTAAACCTGTAATGGAAATACACATTTTATTACATACATATATGTAATATTTAATGTGTATAAATTAAAAAAAAAAACTAAATATCAATGCTGTAATAAATGGTATTTATTACTATGATATACAGTGAACTTTTCATGTCAGCACACAATATTCCATACAAAATATCCCCACAAAATAACTGCATCACTGAGATTTTTGGTGGAGAAAATTTATTCTGAAGCAATATTTTAATCAGTGTTCCATCAGCTTTTACATACTTAAATCTGCATATTTACCTTTACAAAGCATGGTGTTATTTAACTATATCATGTTATGAATAAACTAAACATTTTGAATTTTTACCTCAGTGTGTTTCTTCTGAGTTTATGTGTGCTGTTACGCTCATTTGTTCTGAAGTCTCGAGACAAACAGAGTGAGCCTCAGCGCGAGCTTGTATTCTGTATTCTGCTAACTTACTGCAATTCTCTCCGATGACGCAGTAACTTACCGTGGGGAAGAAAAAAATCTTCGGTCTGTCCAATGATTGTAAACAGTCATTAGGTCCGTCAGACTAAAGATATTTTAGCGGTAATGAGACCAAAAATAATTAAGACCCATCGAATCCGAATTTAAGACATTAAGACGTTTTAAGGCCTTATATTAGGAAAACGTTAAGACATTTTAAGACTAAGGACCCGCGGACACCCTGCGTAGGAAATTTAGCAAACATACCTTTAGTGCAACAAGAAGTGAGACTGTTTCCACTGAGTAATATCCTCTGTCTACATAGTCACCCATAAACAGGTAGTTAGTGTCAGGTGACTTCCCTCCAATTCTGAAGAGCTCCATTAGGTCATGAAACTGTCCGTGCACATCTCCACACACTGTGACGGGGCAGCGCACCTCCTGCACATTGGACTCTTTTGTGAGAATCTCTTTAGCCTGGGGGTGTAAGAACAGGATAGTGTATCAGGCACAGGTGAATACTGCGAAAGCAGGAAAATATCAGACAAGTATGTTTTGTAACCCCAATCAGGGGTGCGTTTCCGAAAAGCATTGTTAGCCATCTACAGTAGCAAGTTCCATCATTACTAACACAGGTCAATAATTCTGTTTCCCTCAACCATAGCTTTAGTGAACATTCGCTTGACCTGAGGTTAGATGCAGAGTTTCATGTTAGTATAACATGCTGAGAAGCAAAACTCATCATGGGTGAAAAAGGTCACAATGCGTTTTCTCTGATCGGATAGCCATCCAATTGTGAAAAGACCAGGTGTAAATGCCCTCCGAAACACTTCACTAACAACAGTCCTATATTGTTGAACCAATGTGTGAGCATGCTCAGGGTACAGTCGTGACTAGATAGTCAGTTTCTGCAGCGATGCAGTTTTTTTTTTTTTTAAAGACTGGAATACACTACACAACTTTTGCCCCAATTTTCCCCCGATTTACAGTCTGGATAAGTTGACGCTAGTCAGAGCTAGGGCTGGGCAAAAAAATTGATTTTCCGATTAATCGTTTTTTAAAATGACGTCGATTCGATATCGATTCTCAAAAGCCGCAAATCGATCTTTTCCAGTATTTATTTCAGCACACATTTAACAAGATCTGATTAATGTGAATCTTATCATTAGTCTTCTCCACTAGATGTCACCCTTATTTATCTTGCGCAATGTTACAACAGAAATCCTGTCATTCATTCAGCACTTATCATGGCCATACGCGCAATTCACAATGCTCAGGTGAAATGCTATAGTAATACTGTAAATCTGCGGAAGCATTTGATATCACGCATAAGGCGCCATGATTTCTGCAATGAATGAATGGTGGATGGTGTGGCGCACTTTTTTGTTTACAACACACATACTAAAGCGCAGATGATGCTCGCGGTGTTTTCAGCTTCTGCCGTCTCACTATATGATGATATGAACACGAATGTCATCTCCAGCTGCTCTGAGAGTCACTTCATTAGCATTTACCGTTTTATTTGAGAAAACTACCGTCATCTAATCATACACAGCAGCTGGAAGTTCTTCACGGCAACCCGTCAAAATAAAAGTTTAGTTTAATGTTCTACTGTCACAATTAGGGATGTCACCGATTAATCGATGATCGATTAATTGTCGATAAGAGATGCAATCGATTAAAGCTATCGATGGTCGATTAAGTCGTTTAATTTTGGGCTGCATGCGGCTCATGCGCAAAACACGTGCGAGCGGCTGTGAATGACGGTGACGGTATATAAATGCATCATCACTCATTCATAATGTACAAATTAAGCTTTTAATGTGATTTAAACTTTAAAAGTACATTAAAATAGAAACAACAAAGTTCTTCAACATGGAAAGCAATAGAAATGTAGTAACCAAGTAATTTCCTCCGATAATTCTTTCATATCGGGCTCTGCGCTTTGCAGGGCTGCGGGACACAGGACAAATATTCATTCCTACAACTTGTTAACTCGTTCCCGAGCAATTCCACAGTTTCTGTCCACAAGGGGTGTAATGAACAATATAGATCGAATAATACCCAGCGCTCTCTTCCACCTTCAATAACATGACTGAGGTGCCCTTGAGCAAGGCACCGAACCCCCAACTGCTCCCCGGGCGCTGCAGCAAAAAATGTGTGCCCACTGCTCCGGGTGTGCGTTCACGGTTTGTGTGTGTTCACTGCTGTGTGTGTGCACTTTGGATGGGATAAATGCAGAGCACTAATTCCGAGTATGGGTTACCATACTTGGCCACAAGTCACGTCACTATTAATTTGTGGCCACTGTCCATGTTTCATTAATTTTGTTCCTTAAATAACCCATGTGTAACACATGATTGAACTAAAATGAGGCATCAAATTAATAAATCGAACAAATTCTTAATTCACGGCCATGAAATCTTTCATTTCCCTTAAATGCGAAAACAGTGATAAAAAGTGAATGACAATAAAATAAACCTGCGAAATTAGAGGGTTAGACGGTGAGGATTTAGGAAAAGAAACAATGCCTAAATATTATTGAATTTGTGTAAATTCCTGACCAACCGGCAAACAAAGAACAAAGCTGCATAAATGTAGGCTATATGTAGTCGAACGGCATCCAAAAGCATGGTCGCGATGTAACATTTTCCAGCTAACCAATTATTCCTCTAATAAACAAAGCTTTTATACCACACTTGTCATGATCAGAGCTTAAAATTTGTAAATAAATAATTGCTGGATTCAAAACAGCAATTAAAAGGCGCTGTGACCGACACTGACTATACGTTTTCCCGGAGCATTCAATGATGTCACTTAACGGTGATGCCACAACTAGAGCATCGTTCACAAGTTTCTGCATGGACCTAACAACTTGCCTAGGCACAGGTTTTCAAGCCCTGGGACAAAATGGGGTGCTTTAAGGAAAATGTATAGCCTATGTAAGCAATAGGCCTAAATACAAATTATTTGTTTTCATAAAATAAAAAATAAATAAAAAAGCAAAATATATCTGGCTTAAATAATTAAGCTAACAGATTTAAAACAGAAGTGTGGCACGGCGCTCCATAAACAAGTTTTTTTTATGTTTCAGCTGTTCGATCGCACCGGCGCCTCACACGCACACACCCCACATATTCTAGCAATTCAAGCTTACATCGCAGTCTGTTCATTATCAAAATGAAATACAGTCAACTAAACATAAAAGGTTATACTGGTCAGTTTAAATAGACCGTAGTATACCGGTCCACTCTGCTGTTATGCCAAGGACTTTTTTGCTCATGTGAATGTGATCATGGAAATTATCGAAAATTGACATCCCTAGTTAGAATATATTACTATTTAGCAGTCTTAAGACTCAGAATTAATAAGAAAAATATAAAAGGCACTAATGTTTAATGAGATACTGGTTTCATGAATATTAATCAGGTTTTGTGCGTTTGCTCGAACTGATTTGCTGAAATCAAAACAGGGACGATAATAGGTGAGCACCAGCCAATGAGATTGCCGTTTGTGCATAAGTTCCGCCTACTACAGGAAAACCCGGCAGTTCTTAAAAGCTGAATAATTCCAAAGGAACTGTTATTTTTACAGGAAAATACAACAAAGTATATCGTTTACATGTAGCTGCATGTTATGTAAGACTCTCGCACGCTCTCACTCTTTGCGCATGAGAGAGAATGCGTCAGCGAGTCGTGCGCCTTCACACTAGAGTTTATGTTACGTCAAATACACAAACACAGGTGCGCTGCGCATCCATTCAAATGAACTGAAAAATAGCACAGATCGCTTGACGGAAAGTGAAACTCTGAAGCGCGCAGTCAGAGTGTTCTGTGAGCAGGGGCGCGGGAAGATACTTTCATTTGGGGGTGCTGTGTGTGTTTGGGTTGGGGGGGGGGGGGCCTTTTATTTTTTCG